AACGAACATCACTCATGGAGACAACCATAGAAATATACCTGACGTTGCAAAATGGCTACACATCTTCTCTAGTTTGTGATAAGCAAGCTAGTTCATCAAGCTAGTTAAGAGGGTAAGTTTTACATACATTGTTATAAATTGTAACAGTTTATTGTTTCTCGTATTAGTTAATTTGGCGTACGCCACTGTCCCACGGAACATTTTTGACAACCCTACTTATTAGTTAACAGTTAGCAATTAATTTCTAGAGTATAAAATATCACAAGACCCCAGTATGGCACTGGATTGTTAGAATGCACCGAAAGTTTGTCTGATTACTGCTCTTTCTAAGTAATTGTTGTATACAAAAAATAAATTCCGTTGATTTACTCTGTTAATAGATATGAGTAAAAGAGTGATCCGCTAGTTGTCCATTTAATACTCTGTATCTTGTTAAGGTAGCATTTTCGGAAAAAAAATTATTTAGGTTCTCGTATTTTTTCGACTTTATCTACACTCCGTTTAATTTATGGTACTCAATTTAAAATCACCTGGTATACAAAATAGGCTCTTTGCAAAAAAGTAGATAGAATAGAATAGCAATTATTCCTCGAAATAAAATTTACATAATACTAAATATACATTTTTCTGTACTAAATAATTCAAAGTACACAAATTTTAAATGCCTTATTGAAAGCGTAAGGAAAAGAGAAAAAAAGATAACATATAAAGAATCCGTAACTAATTTTTCAATCAGCTAGGAACCTAATGGAGTAGACTTCTATTATGCTGTAAAATGTGTGCTGATGTAAAAATGATTTTTTGAATAATACATTATTTTGTTTTGTTACATACGTAGTATTACACAGTAACTAAAATATACTAAAAATGAATATTTGAGTGCAACATTATTTTAATAATACTTTGAATGTATCTGGAATTATAATCTAATTTGGTGTTGATATAATATTGAATATTGCCTTCATTTATATCCCTTTATCATCAATAGCACAAGTCTGAATTTGTATAATATATTTACTTATATTACAAAGGCCTTTAAAGTTTAAAGTCCTTTGACTTTGATAATGCCTTACCAATAGACTAGTAATTGCCTTCATCACTTATCTAGCATGTTCATACATTCCATGGGATGCTGTTTGAAATCTCATGAACAGAATAAAATTATTAAAATTTACAAAGTTTTACAAAGATATCGTGTTGACATCTTCAAGTTATTAAAAAATGTATACATCAAAATTGATCAAATACGTAGGGCTTAGGTCTGATATGGTCAGTATAATGACTAGGAGTTAATAAAATTTTAATTGGACACTCTTTTCTGGAAGCTAATACCCTCCTAAAGCCAAACCATCGTATTGGTCTGTAATATACAGAGTGGGGCAATAATGCGTCGGACTTTGATATCTCGAGTTCTACGATAGCTAAAAATTTAAAGAAAAAATCGAGTAAACTAGATAAAAAGTCTATAACCATAAATTATTTTCGAATATACAGGGCGAGCTATGACGAAATTACAGGATCAAGTGCCTTTTTTTTAAATGGAATACTATATATATATATCAGTACACTTTTTGAAGTCTCTTTTTAGACTCTATTCATTCCTATATTATTATTGACTGTCTTCCACTTGGACGTAATGATTTTTTTTTGTTGAAATAATGCAGATGCACATTGAAAAAATCACCAAAGACACAATTATGGGTTTTAAGAAAAACATATGTGAATACTAGTTACAAGACATCTAATTACTGTTTTTGAAACATTTTTACTTCCTAAAAATGTACAGGGTGGCCAAAAAGTTATTTTTCAATTAAAAACTATTTAAATTGAATTTTCTCAATTTTTTTAAATGGAACACCCTGTATATTTTCGACAGTGTGATGTATAAATGAAGAACGAACATTTTTTGTAAGTACTTCCCTATAGCTAATTGCCACCATTTTCGTTTAATTGCGCAATAAGTACAAAATTCAAGAATAAACTAAAAAAATTGGGGTTTCTTCAAATAATTCATTAGAAAAAATTATAATAAGTGCTCCACATGTTGCCCATTTTGATTAACACACGTCTCTATGTGCCTTTGAAATAAGGCCATTTAGTGACACCATTTCTTCCAATCCATTGAAATGGATAAATAGTATTTAACTGGTCCCTTACTGTAATAGTTTATTGTAAATTTATTTGCTGTCTTCGTTATTCGATAGGCAATAAAATCTCAGTTTAGTATAAATTGTCTTGTATAAACGAACATTTATCGCACTTATCGGTCGTCAGTTATTATTTGTATTAAATTTAAAATATTTCGAGTTTTACAAAATGAATTTTAATAAAGCGGAACTTGTAGACATGACTTCTGTTCTGGGCGAGTCAGACAGAAATTGAAGAGCTGTTTTTTCAAAACTAAGTCCAAAACATTCAAATGGAGATAAACTCAATTTTTTACTGTCACCTTATTTTTAATATATCCGTTTACTAAATTTTTTCATGACTGTTTGTTTAAAAAACATTAAAAAGCACTTGATATAATAAAGAAAAAAACATAATACGTATTTTTTTGTAAGAATATATTTATTAGTTGTTTTTCAAAACACTCTAAGTCCATGGACTTAACACATATTTGAAGAAAAAAGTATTAAAGAATGATTACAAAGAATATTCCTAAATGAATGGCTCATTTTCTTCGTTTGCTGGCTCCACTGTTTCTTCTGGAATATCACGGCCAAAATTCGTCAATGCTACGTTATAAAAACGATTCGCTTCCTCGGATAAAGTGAGATGCTGTATGAGATGAAGAACATTTCCCTTTTTCAGAATGTTGTTCATATTTAGGGGTGCCATTTTAATGGCTGTGTCTAAAGCATAAGAATGTTGAATTTATTGCTCTTTAAAATCCTATGGGAGCATGGTTCTCCGGTATATGTTATGCTAACCGAAACGTTTTTTTTTTTCGGTATATGAACACACGTTGTTCACTTTTCTTAAAAGGAAACTTAGATTTTAATGAGGTGTCGGCAATACTCTTGTAGTCTTTTACTTCCCAGTTTTCACCATAACGTAAGACAATAGACGTATTTTTTAAAATATTGCAGTATTCTTCAGGAGACACAATTTTCTCTATTAATTCCGTACGCCCAAACACCCGATCGGGAGGAACATGTCTTCGTATAGGAAAAATGTGATGTATCTCTTCAAATACAGTGCTTTTTTGAATAAAACATAATAATACGAATATTACTGTTAAGTTTTTGTTTTATCCCGGACATGAATATGAAAATAATTTTAACGTATGACGTTTGGAACCCTCGAAATTAGAATTATCATATTTTTTTCCAAAATGTTTAGGAAGTTCAATAAAGAAGACGCGACTTCATTAGACCCTTTCTCTGACTGATTTTCTGTCCAAACGTATGAAAAGGTATTATCTTTATTTTGGTTATTGTTTTCTTGCCAATAGAATTTATAAGCAAAGGTATCCTGAAGGAAAGATTCCTGATGTTAGCAGCTTCCAAAACCTATTCGATAGATTTGTGGAAACTGGAAATGTCGAATACAAAAGAAGTGAAAGAATAAAACGTGTTGTGATCGAAAAATATGAGTTTTCTGTGGTGCTGGCAACTGTTGAGAATCTCCATATTAGTCAGAGAGAAGTGAGCTCATTAGAAGAAATTAGTAGACGATCTGTTGGGTCGAATCTTAAAAACAAATAAGTTTCATGCATATCATATTCAAATACACCAGGAACTCTCTAATGATGATTTTCAAAGGCGTCTACAGTTTTGTAATTGGGCCAGAAATAAAATGTCAGCTTCTTCAGTAATGTTTTATTCACGGAGAGGCAACTTTTCATAAAAATGGATTTGTCAATAGGCATAATTTCTATTATTATGCTTCGGAAAGTCCTCACTTTTTTAGCCAAGTTGATAACCAGCGCAGATGGTCTATAAACGTTTGGTGAGGAATTATTGGAGAACATGTAATAGGGCCACATTTCTTTGATGGTACATTGACTGGAGCTATTTATATCTTCATTTTCTGGAAAACTTGCTGCCAACAATTGTTGGTCAATCTTCCTGAAAGGATTCGAAATAGGATGTGGTTTCAGCAAGATGGTGCTCCACCACATTATTTATATGCAGTTAAAGACTACTTAAATAATACCTACCCACTTCAATGGTCTGGAAGGAATGGACCCACTAAATGCCCTGCTAGATCCCCAGGTCCAAAAATGGATTATTTGAATGAATCTCTATTTTTTTAAGTTTATTCTTGAATTTTGTCACCACGTACAGTTTTAGGAAATAAAAATGATTCAAAAAACATTAATTTGATGTCTCGTAACTAGTATTCACATAAGTTTTTCTTAAAACCCATAATTGTGACTTTGGTGATTATTCAATATGCATCTGCAGATGGCATTATTTTAACAAAAAAATTCATTGCATTCAAGTGGTTGGGAGATAGTTAATAATAATATAGGAATGAATACAGTCTAGAAAGGGGGCTGCAAAAAATTTACTGACACACATAGCATTCCATTTAAAAAAAAAAAGGCACTTGATCCTGTAATTTAGTCTTGGCTTGCCCTGTATATTCGAAAATAATTTCTGATTTTAGACTTTTTGATCTAGTGTACTTGTATTTTTTTTTTAATTTCTAGCTATCGTAGAACTCGAGGTATCGAAGCCTGAGGCACTATTGCCCCACCCTGTATATGATAGTTAACTTATTTCTTCACTTCTCTTTGGCTGGTTCTTTTTCCTGTATAAAAAGTTTGTCATTGATTTCAACCAGTGAAATTATAACGTACAAAATAAGCCACAGGCAGGTATGATTCTTACCTTTTTTTATCAAAATCTAACAACGGTTTTTTTATATTTTGGGAAAATCGTAGCATATTGAACTCTATTATGGTTTTTTTTTCTTCAGTTTATTTCTGAGTTACCCTGTATAGGCATATGAGAAATTGTATGTTTCTAATTTATTGAATTTAATGATTTGGCTAGGTGGTCGAGTGGTAAGGACACTTGTCACTCACCCTGGAATCCCGGGTTCAATCCCCGGTTGATAAGTTAGGATTTTTTCTAAACCAGAAATTAATCCTAGCATACTCGAACATTTGGTGTGTGTTCAATGTCTCTAAATGTGTAGCCCTCCCACACAAGATACCTTGAGGCTTCCTCAGGGACATAGGGGGTTGTATTAGCTGTGGTGTTTAATTTTAATTTTAATTTTAATTTAATTTAATCTATAGTTTTCTCAAAAAAGAGGATTTTTTTTTTTTCGAAAAATGTGTTTATATTCAGCTTCAAGCACTAAAATACCACATGACAGTCCTGCAAATACCACAAATGATGTAAATAGCGGGTTTGAGGGCAAACAGGCCGAAGGTAGTTCAGTCGTTTAAAATACAAAATTTTCAAAAAAATAAATGTAAAAAAATCTTAAAAAAAATTATAATAGGTCAAGGGGAGGAACATAAATGAAAATTACTGCGGTACATATTTGGTGTTTTTTTGTGTTATTTTTGTATTCCACAATAAAAATGAAATCCAGTAATATACGAAATTGGAACAGTAAAACGCTAAATTGGAACCACAGGATTTTTTTAATTACGATCCTTCATTTGAAATGTTAAGAATTTTTTCTTAATTTTTATCTTTAAATAAGATATAATTTCTTAAAAAATAGTGCATTTTATATCTGGCGAGGGCTCTTAAATCATTCAAAACGTTCCATCTTTTATACCCTGTCAATGACAAATCTGTAAATTTAAATAAATCAGAAATTTATAAATTATCATGTCAGGATTGTAGAGTCTTTTACATGAGTCAATACGGTCATATTTTCGAAATTAGATGCAAAGAACACTTACGTTATTTGAGATATAATAAAATCAATTTAACTTTTTTATTATCATATCCATTTGTTGTTTATTAACGTTTGAAAATAACAATAGTTAGTTATTACTAAAGGGCGGAATATATTCAATCAAAATATGTACATATATATGCATCATTTTTATTTAAAATATGCAATTATATGCATTTATTTGGCCAAATATGCAATAATGGGCCTTTATTTAACATGTAAAATTACTTAGCAAACACACAGACATTAATTTTATAGAAAATATTTATTTCGAGAAAAATTAAAACAAAAGATATAAAATACAATAAAAGAAAATTATATAAATACTTTAATTTGAAATTGTGTAGTAGAAATTTATAATTAAATGCTTTTCAAAATTTTCCAATAAGAATATCAGTAAATATATGTTTATATATAGAAAAGGTTGTTTCAACATCTACCGACATAATAGGACATTACTGCAATTTGGGTAGTAACCTATAAGGCCAAGGTGTAACTTCCTTGGATGATTTACGAACAAAAATACTATTTACTGACTGTAAAGATTTGAAATCTTCATTCTTTTCTACAGTAGCATCTATTTTTTTTTCTAACTTTAACACCTACATCACTGGGAATCTTTTTACATTTAGCGGAAAAAGATTCAACAAAATTAATCGATCGCTTAAACGTAAATTTCTACTTTCTAATGAAACTATTATATCTGGTATAAAATTAATTTTAATGAAAACAAGTTGCTCAGCTACATCTGCATTTTTCAGCATTAATTGACTTTGACTACACACTGCGAGTTGTCTTCTATATCTAGAATTAATTCTTTAATAGCTTCGAAATGTTCTGCGTAGAATATTGCGACTTTAATCCTTGTTCCCCACCGGGTAATTACGGGTTCCGGAGGTAAACTTACTCCTGACAATCGCTCCTTATACATCTGCTTTCTCAGAGATGCATTTAAAAACACTTTTTTTACATTTGAAATTAGTTTGTTTACCAAGGGATATTCAGTTCTGACGCTTTCTGCAACTCTGTTTATCCCATGTAGAAAACAAGTGACATGCACCATATTGGGATAAAATATTTTTAATTTTTGGCCCACTTTTACCATATACGGTGCTGCATTAGACAAAAACATCAAGAACTTTTCATGACAAAGACGATTGAATAAAACGGGTAACGGTCACATGTTTTGTTTTGTCTAACTCTTTTGAAGCTATTAAATATGATTTACTTTTATTATTTTCTTGTAGGGCTCCAATAATAAGATGTGCAATATATCGACCACAAGCATCTGTACTTTCAACAATAATATAAAAACTGTCATTGTCCAGTGAAACTGTAATTTCCTGTATGACAGTTTTATATACTGCATGCATATTCTTCTTTTTTTATAGTAGATTCATCAGGGATGTTTTGGTTACAATATTTTGGTAAAATTCTTTGAATTGGGTATTTTGAGGCTTTTTTAAAGGAATGTTCGCTACGACTAAAGCTTTGTCTTGATGAGACACCTCCGTTTCACTTCTTGTTTGGTTTCCAACATATAGAAATATGGTTTTCACATATTGCTGAACGGACCCAGATTTCATTTTTTGCAACTTGGTTTTGTGTGTAGATGTTTACAAGTGTTGATCCACTTAGAACTTCTCTTCACAGACAATCTGAAACAAAACAATCATTTAAGTTCAAACTGCATATCAATAGATAGAAAATAGAAAGCTAAGTTAAGAAAGTTAAAGCCATTACAGTTTTTCTAATACAGTTGGTCAAAACATAATAAACTGAAAATCTCAATCGTTGAATATCTGAAAATTGATCTGTTTTGAAAAATAAAACAGTAACTTGTAAGAAATAATAGGTACTTACGATTTTTGCACAAGCTTTGCAAAATACTTTATCTCCACTAAGCTCCAACTTAGGAACATTTTTAATCCATGAAGAAGTTTTTGGCATTTTAGACATTGTGAAATCAAATAAATATTCTCAAACCACTATTTTCACACTGAACTCTACCGACAAACTGAACTGGGAGTATCTAGGTGATTAGGCCGGGCCATTACAGCGAAGAATATTATCTTATAATTAGGCAGGCACATTTTAGAACAAGTTTCTTGGAAATTTATTGACCCTATTCAGATACTCAGAACCCCTCCAGGTATTCAGAACTTTTTTATTGGAAATCCCCGAAACCTAATAAATGATATATAACAAAGGGCAGGTAAACCGGGGGCTCCGATAATTTGTTATGACGAAAAATCTCCAAATATGCATAAAAATACAGTTTTTTCAGAAACATCATGTAATTGGATGAAATATGAAAAAAATGCATATATGTATATATATATGCACTTTGGATATATTCCTCCCTCTAGTTATTATAAATTAGTGATAAAATCCAATATTAAAATTTCGTCGTTCTTACCATTAAGTGGGCTCAAAAAATAGCAACGCTAGTGACAGACAAATTAATATTTTTTGAGAACAAAGAGCAACATATCTGGTAAGATTTAAATTATGTTAAAATTTAAATCTTTGTACAATTCTCTCTGAAATGAGGTAAAGTAAAAAATTTATTCAGTAATTGAAATGATAATTATTTTACAATCTACAGTTTAATGTCAATTAGTAAACTGAGTGAGGATTATATTATCATACTAATGATATTAAGCTATCCTATGGATTCTTTTCAATATGTATAGTGGACCCTAATACCCTATTTCTGCTTTAATCAAGCACCGAATAATTCATGTTAGGTCATCAGCTATCAATCAACCTAGACATTTTCCTTGCCTTATCTGTAATTGATTTTCCAGGTAAAGTATTTCACAAAGGAAAAGGATAAGAAAACTTGAACGTAATGGAATTAGTTTCCCTTCTATACGAATCTATAAAAAGTGCACCCAGATTGAAACGTGAATCAGTTACTCATGGACATATACAGAATGATTACTTGTATATTTTTAAGCGATTGTCAATATTCTATGTTAGTTAAGCATTAAGATGAAGACATTTCATCTACCATGTTATATTTACTACAACTCTGAGATTTAATTTGTCTAAATTGGTGGTTCATAAATAATGAAAATGAAAATATTATATCTATCGATTAGAGAATTTTTTCGATAATACCAGTAAAAAACTAGCTATGATTTTTGCATTTGTTAACCAAGATGTGGTTATTGGTAGAAAAATTTTCTTTCGTAATACCAGCGCACCATCTTTACTTTTGGCGACCTATTTTACTGATATAGATTAAATTTTAAGGAATAGAAATACTATACTAATGTTCGTTAGGAAGCAAATTCTCTATAATCCAGTTACTTTAGCCAAAAAAAGATGGTCAACCTCGGAATGAGAGATAATAAGCTGTAAACTTGTATAAACTTTTATTTTGGCGTTCTAAAAGTTGTCTCAAAAGTCTCATAAAATCTCGTGTCCGCGTCTTAAGATATTCGAGGTCAAAGGTCACAAAAATCGGTTTTTTGCAAATATCTCGCTTCCTATGGTTTTAATGCCATTTGCGTTTATTATAAAAATTGTAGAGAATAAAATTCTCTACAACTTTTGTTCCAAACATTTTTTTATATACTCAACCGTTTTTGAGATAGATGGCGAAGAGTGCGCCGCGCTTACCTATTCACAGCATAATTCAAGGTCGACCGTAAGTCCCGGTAAATAATACGCCGTATAAAGTCTATAAATCATTAAAAAATATATAATTATGAATAATTTGTATTGTTTATTAATTAATACATTATATTTAATAATATTTTTCATTTATCGAATATGTATTTGATTAATATTACTTACTTTTCCGTGTAATCAACTACAAGAATGGTTGTGGTTCACGCTGCGGATGCAGGAAATCAGGGTTGCAATGTTCTTTAGCTTGTGGCCAGTGTAATGGGCAAGCGTGCCTCAATGCTTCATCGTATCAAATCGATCTCGATGAAGATAGTACATTTGACCCCGAAATTCTCGAAGATCTAGACAAATATCCTTGACAACGATAATGATGATATTGAATTGGAAATTTTCGAGCGACGGAAGACGATGATGAAGAAGAAGAAGAAAATTAAGACTCAAGTCCTTCTAATTATAAAACTTTTTGAAAACTTTCCCACATTTGAACTTCAACTGTAATAAATATATGAAAAAGTATTTCTAAATAAAGATATAATTAAAATGTATTTACTCTATTCTT